CTGAGGAAGGCTTTCTTATCTCTCCTTGCTATTCTTTGGAACTCTGCATTCAAATGGGAATATCTTTCCTTTTCTCCTTTGCTTTTTGCTTCTCTTCTTTTCACAGCTATTTGTAAGGCCTCCTCAGACAACCATTTTGCCATTTTGCATTTCTTTTCCATGGGGATGGTCTTGATCCCTGTCTCCTGTACAATGTCACGAACCTCCGTCCATAGTTCATCAGGCACTCTGTCTATCAAATCTAGTCCCTTAAATCTATTTCTCACTTCCACTGTACAATCATAAGGGATTTGATTTAGGTCATACCTGAATGGTCCAGTGGTTTTCCCTACTTTCTTCAATTTAAGTATGAATTTGGCAATAAGGAGTTCATGATCTGAGCCATAGTCAGCTCCCAGTCTTGTTTTTGCTGACTGTATAGAGCTTCTGCATCTTTGGCTGCAAAGAATATAATCAATCTGATTTCGGTGTTGACTATCTGGTGATGTCCATGTGTAGAGTCTTCTCTTGTGTTGTTGCAAGAGGGTGTTTGCTATGACCAGTGCGTTCTCTTGGCAAAACTCTAGTAGTCTTTGCCCTGCTTCATTCCGTACTCCAAGGCCAAATTTGCCTGTTACTCCAGGTGTTTCTTGACTTCCTACTTTTGCGCTCCAGTCCCCTATAATGAAAAGAACATCTTTTTTGGGTGTTCTAAAAGGTCTTGTAGGTGTTCATAGAACCGTTCAACTTCAGCATTACTGCTTGGGGCATAGGCTTGGATTACCATGATATTGAATGGTTTGCCTTGGAAATGAACAGAGATCATTCTGTCATTTTTGAGATTGCATCCAAGTACTGCATTTCAGACTCTTTTGTTGACCATGATGGCTACTCCATTTCTTCTAAGGGATTCCTGCCCACAATAGTAGATATAATGGTCATCTGAGTTAAATCCACCCATTCCAGTCCATTTTAGTTCGCTGATTCCTAGAATGTCGACGTTCACTCTTGCCATCTCCTGTTTGACCACTTCCAATTTGCCTTTATTCATGGACCTAACATTCCAGGTTCCTATGCAATATTGCTCTTTACAGCATTGGACTTTGCTTCTATCACCAGTCACTTCCACAACTGGGTATTGTTTTTGCTTTGGCTCCATCCCTTCATTCTTTCTGCAGTTATTTCTCCACTGATCTCCAGTAGCATATTGGGCACCTACCAACCTGGGGAGTTCCTCTTTCAGTATCCTATTACTTTGCCTTTTCATATGGCTCATGGGGTTCTCAAGGCAAGAATACTGAAGTGGTTTGCCATTCCCTCTCCAGTGGACCACATTCTGTCAGACCTCTCCACTGTGACCCGACTGTCTTGGGTGGCCCCATACGGCCTGGCTTAGTTTCACTGAGTTAGACACGGCTGTGGTCCTGTGATCGGATTGGCTGGTTTTCTGTGACTGTGGTTTCAGTGTGTCTGCCCTCTGATGCCCTCTTGCAGCACCTGCTGTCTTACTTGGGTTTCTCTTACCTCGGACGTGGGGTACTATTCTTTCTGCAATTAAAAAAAACATGGGCTTCCCTGGTAACTCAGTAGTGAAGAATCTGCCTGGCAGTGCAGGAGACACAGGTTTGATCTCTGATCTGGGAGGATCCCACATGTCTCGGGGCGACTAAACCCGTGTGCCCCAACTATTGAGCCTGTGCTCCAGAGCCCAGAAGCCACAACTACAGAAGTCTGAACACCCTAGAGCCTGCGCTCCACAACAAGAGAAACCACTGCAACAAGAAGCCTCCACACGGCAACCAGACAGTAGCAACAAGAGAAAAGCCCATGTAGCAACAAAGACCTAGCATAGCCAAAATAAATAATAAAATAAATAAATAAAATCATTTAAAAAGTTAAGTCAAACCTCTATTTCTTGCTGTATCAACCACAGACACATTGACTATCTTTGTTAAAAACAAAGACAAAATAAACTTAATGATACTTATAAAGTCATTATTGTTAAAAAAAAAAAAAAATTCCAGTATCCCCTAGAGTGGAGGCCTGCAAACTTTTTCTGTAAAGGGCCAGAGGGTAAATATTTTAGGCTTTGCTGGCCATGTTGCTTCTGCTGCAACTACAGAATTTTGCCACTAAGGTGCAGAAACAGCCACAGACAACAGTGAGTTAATAGGTGTGCCTATGTTCCAATAAAGTTCTATTTATAAAAATCAGTCAACTGGCCACAGGTGGGTGGGTAGGGGCCAACTTGCCAGCCCCTACGAAGACCAGTGGATATCAGGGTTGGCTGAATGGCAGGACCATGTGACTCTGATGCTTCCATTCTGCCCTAGATTTCTGCATGGAACTTGAGAATCCATTTCTGAAGTAGCCTAGGTGAGTCAGATGTGAACTCAGGGGTTTAGCACACTGGTCCAGACACTGCTGAGTTGAGGACCCCTCTGCCCCCCACCCTCCAGTCTGCTCTGTCCTCTGGCTATCTCTTGCTCAGGACTCTTCATTTCAGGTGGAGAAACAGTACTGATAGGGGGACAGGGAAGCCAGGCCTTGGGTCGAGGGGCTTTACCTTGGTTCAGAGTTTTGCTCACCACCTGCGCTTTTTAAATTCCAGACTCAAGCAAACCTGCTGCTGTACTCTGCCCGCATGCACAGATCAGATCCATGTTCGTACCTGCTCAGCCACCTGAACTACAGTGGGTTCTGATCCAGGGAATACATTATCTGAGCATCATCCTCTCCACTGGCTTTCCTGGAGATACTTAACAAAACAAAACTGTAACCCGGTTGGGTATTCAGGAGTTACAAGTGTATTCCTTCCTGCTCTGCCTGATCTTAGAGATGACTTAGCATCTCGGCAGGTTGCCAGCTTATCAGTTATGTGCTGAGATATTCAGTCACTCAGTCATGTGGGACTCTTTGCGGCCCCATGGACTACAGCCTGCCAGGCTCCTCTGTCCTAGGGATCTCCTTGGACAGAGTATGAGGCTCTGAGATGACATTAATGTTTAAAACCTTATAAGTTCCCCATTAATGATTTCTTCTATGGACTTGCAGGTCAAACACTTAAGCCTTCTGAAGTCTGAACACACCACCATTATGCCTTTAATAGGGCAAGATTTTCAAACCAGAAAGGATCCAGAGCTTGAACCATTTAACTGAGGGTGCAGACACGATCAAGCTTTTAAGCTTCCCACGTCCAGCGAACAAGTGGTTCACTCCAAGGCAGCCCAGGAAAAGGAAAGACAAAGCTTTCTGGTGCTGCTCTGCTGGCTCTGCACGCCCATCCTCAAACCACGTCTGCACACACAGCATCTCTTTCCAACGGCTGACAGGGACTGAGAACAGCCGGCACAGGTGGCCAGAGGAAAATACACAGGAGTGCCTCCTGTCCTCTCTCCATGCCATGGTTTCTTGACCTCAGTACTACTGCCATTTTGGGCAGGGGGATTCTTTGGCTGGGGGGCTGTCCTGAGTACTGTGGGGGTGTTTAGCAGCATCCCTGGCCTCTACCCAACTAGGTACTGACCCTTATGCTGTGACAACCAAAAATGTCTTCAGATGTTGCTAAGAGTCCCCTTGGAGACACAGAGGCCCCAGGCTGAGAACTGCTGGTTTACTTTAATGACTTCCAGCGTCAAGTGGGCCCTCAGTGCTGCTGGCAATTACACAGCGCATCCCCATTCAATTACCCGTTCACTGTCCTGGATGACTAGTTTGCACTTTCTTTTGTCCCCTCAGACCTTCAACTCCTTCCTGCTTCCTCGCTGCCAGCTGATGACCTTCACAAAGAAACAGAAGCAATCAGGTTCTCCTTCAGCTCCCTCCACTGAACAGCTGTGCCCCCAATCTCTGCCTTGCCTCCCGTGAGGATGCTCCACTTGTGTGTCCGCCCCTCAAGGACAGCACTCCGCCAACGTTCCTGCTCCAGCATCTGCATTCTTCCCCCTCTCCACTGCATCATTCCCATCGGCAAAACATGCAGTCATTTCCCTAGTCTAAAACCAAACAGAAGCCCCTGGATGCCAAAGCCTCCTTGAGCTCCTGCCCGTTTCTCTACCCACCTTAAAGGACTGACCATACCTGCTGCTTCTTCCTGTCTTCTATTCTCCCTGAACCCACACCATTCAAACCTTAGCCCCTCACACTCCACCAAATGTGCCCTACTCAAGGTCACCACAAATTCACAATATTAAGTCCTACGAGCAGTTTGGTCATCAGTCTATGGACCAGTCAATCATATCAGTAGCATTTGATATAGCTGATCTACTTTTGAATCACAGGAAAAAAAAAAGTCTCTCCAGGATTTTTTTAGTACCTCTCTGGAGGTTCCTTCTTTCTCTTCTGCTGATTCCTCCTCAGCTCCCCAAATCTCCCCAAATGCCAGAGGCTCTAGGGTTCAGTCCTTAGACCTCTCCTTCACTTTATCCACCCTTTCTCTCTTGATGATCTTGTATTTTATGATTTTAGACATCATCTAGGGAATTCCTTGGTGCTCTCATTGCCAGGGGCCCTCAGTTCGATCCCTAATTGGGGAACTAAAATCTCAAAAGCCATGTAGGGAAAAAAGAAATCATCTATGGAATGAGTCTTCCAAATGTGTACGTCTAATTCAGATCTGTGCCCTCAATTCCATTTCTAATCGTGAATATTGTATCTGTACTTGGATGTTAATTAAATATCTCAAATCTACAATTCAAGCTCCTGTAGTCTTCCCCATCTTCACGACAACTCTATCTTTCCAGTTGTTTAGGCCACAAATTTTAGAATGTCCCTTCAGCTGTCTCCTTTTCTCATACCTTACATTAACAAATGCTGTTGGTTCCACCTTCTAAGTGCATCTGTCTGACCATTTATACAATCTCTGCAGCTGCCACTCTGGACCCTGCCAGCATCGCTTCTCACTGAGAATATCTCAGTAGTCTTCTGATTGTTTAGGAGACTTCTCCCATCTTCCAGCCTAGCTCTCCTACAGTTTAATATCAATGCAGTGGCCAAAGGGACCCTTTAAAATGTAAGCATGAGCATGTCAACCCTCCATTTAGAATTCTCCAGTGACTTCCCATTTCTCTCAGAATAAAGTGAAGTTGTCACAATGGCCCGTAACGGACAACAGGATGTAACCCTGAATGCCTGATGCACCCCTCACCCTCTTGTCCTCACCCCTCATTTTTACTTCTCACTCCACTGTGGCCTTCTTGCTCAGACACTATACACACTCTACTATAATCTGTCATACTTCTTTTTCTTATTTTCTATTTACTGTCCCCTATCCACTTGAATTTAAGTTTCACCGGGGTGGGGATTTTTGTGTGTTTGGTCATTGATGTGTCCCCAACACCCTGAACAGTGTCTGACATTGCTGAGTGACCACAACACAATCTTTGCTTCAATTCCTTTGGCAGCTCCCCACTGACCACAGTGGGGAGTGAGTAAAAGCCCCACTGTATCTTATGGTTTTAAACATCATCTACGTGATGAGTCTTCTAAATGTCTATGTCTGATTCACATCTGTCCCTTGAACTTCATCTCTAATAGCCAATATTGTATCTCCACTTGGATGTTAATCAAATATCTTAAACACACAAATCCAAGCTCTTACAGATTAATGACAACTCTATCTTTCCAGTTGTTTAGGCCAACGGTTTTAGACTGCTCGTTATCTACAGATAAGGCTCTTAGCATTCTGATTCCTTCTCACCCTGCTGGCCTCATCTACCTTCACACACACACTTGACTACACAACATTCATACTGCGTGCCTTAACACAGACTGTTAGCTTTGCATAAAATGACCTTTCATCTTTTCCAGCTGAACTCCCATTCAATTCAGGTCTTAGCATCACATTATTTTCCTGGCACTCTTGTCTGATTTCCTCAGGAGTTAGACACTCATGCTTTCATACTTCAAAGCAACCAGCTCTTACTTCCAGTAAACTACTGATCAGATTATGGTGAAAACGTGTGCATGTTTGTCTTTCCTGGTTGACTGTGAACTACTGGTGCGAAGGAATGATCTTCTGCATTTGTACCCTCAGAACCAAGCAAGCTCTTAGTAAAAGTCTGCTAAATGCATGTGAAGTACAACTAGCACACAGAGACAGTGTCCCTGGCGGGAAGCAAGATGCCAGTTACTAACTGAGGCTGAGTACAAAAACCACTCTGGACCTTAGACCAACTCTAAAAAGCGCATAACAACCTTTACCTTACTACCGCTTCCGCCTCATTTTGTATCGGAGACCCTGATTTCACGAGAGAAACAAAAGTGGTGATATTTATTATACACCTTCAACATCCATTCATTCATCAAAAGTTCACTGATCCTTACAACCTCTTTCAGTATTCTTTCCACTTTAAGAGGAAAGAGCTGAGGCTCTAAAGTTAATCTGCATAAGGTTCCACAGTCACAGTTGGGAATTCACTGGTGTTCTGACCCTGGAAGGTGGTGCCAGTCGCCCGAGGGCCAGAACTAAGTGGCCCTTACCTGAAGCTGCTGTGGCTCGGAGCTGGAGCCGGAGTTTCCGCCTTCTCAACCTCCTGCTTGGCCGCTGCGTCCTGCATCTGTTGGGCGCTCATGTGGATGGGGGGGCCCGGCACTCCGGCCACGATCCTGCGGAGAAGGAAAGCTCAGGGAGGTCCAGGCCTAAGCGAGTACTAACTGGACTCCAGGAGTCCAAGTAGTTCATGGGACACGGGAAGGAGCGCAGTCCCGGATGACTGTAGGCTCGGAATGAGTAATCACCTTACCTGGTCGTCGGCGGCCAAGCCCATGACCGCAAGAACCAGGACCCAGCGTTTCTTACAACCTGCATGACTTGAGTTGACCTCAGTCAGATCCCGTCTAAGGCGGCCGCGGAGCTGGGCGGGGCTGGAGCGGATCCAGCACCACGAGCTTGTGGGGGAGGGCGCAGGGGAAACTCCACCTGATTCCCCTTTCTAACGTACACCAAACGCACATCAAACGTACATCAAAGACTTTTATTCCAACTTAAGTGCTCAATAATAACTATAGTTGCTAGTGTCGACTGGGAATCCTTCCCCCTTCTCCTAGTTTTCTAAGGAGGTCTTCGCCCACCCTTCCATATTGGAATGGTTCGTTCTAGTAGTCCTGGGGGCCTTAGCTCTTCCCGTCATGCTGCTCCCGCGCTGCCTTGTGGGAACATAGGATTGGCTCAGGACCTCGCCGGGAACCGCGGTGCGTTGTGGGAAGTTTGAAAATGGCGGCGCCCACAAGGCGGACTGTGTTAGGGCTGGCGAGGTGCTGGCGGCGGTTCGAGAGACCCTGGAGTCTGAATTCTCGTAGCTTGACCCTTGCGGCTGCACCGTCGAATAGCTCATCTCCATGGCGCCTGTTGGGTGCGTTGTGCCTGCAGCGGCCACCGGTGGTCTCGAAGCAATTGACCCCGATGCAGGAAGAGATGGCAGCTCTGCTACAGCAGGTGGGTTGAGGTGCAGGTTGTGGTTTCTAGGTGCAGTTGGGGACGCAGTAGAGGTACGCTGGCTTGGGTTTGATCCTGGCCCGCTGATTATCTTGTGTGACTTTGGGCAAGTCCCTTCACTTCTCTGAGCTTCGGTATGCTTTCCTGCAAAATGGTACCTACCTTCTGGGTTCCTGCGGTACGTAGTACGCGTTCAGTAAGAGGCACGTCGTTTTCATTGATCTTCTTTGTCGTTACCTTCGGCAGCTCTCTGGAGAGGCTCTTCATTTTTTTTCGACATATAGGGGTGCGATGGTGAACAAGACGGATTCAGTCCCCATCATAGGTGGTTGACAGTTTAGAGAGGAAAAAAGCTTTGTCATGTGATGAACTTAAAGAAAAGGCACAGGGCACATCCGTCTAAGATGTCTGTGATAGAGTCTGTTTATGTGAGGGGTAAGTGAAGAAATATGGACAAAAACGGTGTATTGGCAATGAAGGTCCTAAATCCCCATAAGTAGCGACTAAAGATATTATGTCTACCTAGAACCTGAGGCGTTTTTGTCTTAATTACTGAGAGATACAGACTTAATTTCTGTGCTTTTTATTTGGCTTGTTAACTTACTCTGCAAACATTTTAAAATCACCTTTTAATCATTTAGCACCCACTTTGTGCAAACACTGTACTAAGTGGTAGGGATGCAGTGGTGAGTAAGACAACATAGCACTGGTTCTCAGAGGGATTCAGTTTGGTGGAGGGGTTGTCAATCAATAACCAAATAACCACATGGTTATGGAATTGCAGTCTCTGGTAAGTGTTTTAAAGGAAAACACAGGGTACTGTAATAGTGTTTAACAGGGATGTTAATTTGATTTTAATGGAAGGTGTCAAGGAATATCTTTTAAAATAAGTGATGTTTAAATTGAGATATGAAGAATGAGTAGGAACCTCCCAGGAGAGCATGAGGGAAAACATTCTAGAAAGAAGGAATAGCATCTGTAAAATGCCTGAGGCAGGATAGTTCATGGAGAGTGAGACTCTGGTCAAAGACTGGCATGACTGGAGGGTGGTGAGTGGGCAGGCACTGCCTGTCCTAGTCCTCTCTTGGTTGTGGCAGTCTTGTTGTTTGAATGCATTTTAATATTTCAGAAAATATAGCTCAACCCAAAGGGCAGGTGACTTTTTTCCTCTGTTTTCCTTGTGGTGATTTGATTGTGTGTCTGGTTATGTTGGGTGGTAAACTTCTGAATCTGTCAAGTGCACTGTAACTGTGTTTTATTATTTTTCTTTTCTTTTAATTTTCCCAGTTTGGGGTAGATATTTGCTCTTTTAATTTTCCCAGATTGAGATAGAGAGAAGCCTGTATTCAGACCATGAACTTCGTGCTTTGGATGAAGCCGAGCAACTGGCAAAGAAAAAAAGTGACCTTTATGAAGAAGAAGATGAGAAGAATATATTGCTGGTGCAGGACTTGGAAGACATGTGGGAGCAGAAATTCCTGCAGTTCAAACCTGGAGCTCGAATAACAGGTTTGTGGTCTCTTCAGGCCAGTTAGAGGTAGGAGGGTGGATATTCTGACTTGCAAAGAAAGAATACTTGCTTACTCTCTGCTTTGTGTTTTAAATAGTAATTTCAAATGATAAAACTTTTTAGCATGGGAGGAAAATTCTTTTCACAGTTCTTCACATCCACCCTGACATAATACTTTAAGAGTCTGTGTTATTTTTGAGCGGGATGTGTGGTTTTTGAGGGAACTCTCCAGGTGGTCACTGGTAAAGAATCTGCCTGGCAGTGCAGGAGCTGCAGGAGAGGTGGGTTTGATCCCTGGGTTGGGAAGATCCCCTGGAGGAGAAAATGGCAACCCCCTTCAGTATTCCTGCCTGGAAAACGCCATGGACAGAAGAGCCTGGTGGGCTACAGTCCTTGGGGTGGCGTAGAGTCAGACACGACTGAGCGACTGAGCACACATGGGTGTTGGGACAGCTGTGTCTCAGTTAGGCCTCAAGAATGTTATCTGGATTTAACTCCTAGTTTGGGACTGAGAGTAGGGGAAGTTAAGCCTTACCCACTCGTTTCCTGTGTTTTGTCTGAAATCCCTCCCAAAGCAGGGGGTTAAGTTCTTTTGTTCTTGTTTCACAGTGAAAACTGAAGTAGAGCCTGGTTAAGTCAGTAATAGTGTCAAAACCAAAGAATTAGTAGTGTCTGGGAATTGCTTCTTTTCCAAAGGCTCAAAGTACTTTGTGTTCTGCTCTTCAAAGGAGGAGTGCAGCTTTGGGTTTCTTCTTGTTAAATTTTAGTTTGCTCAAGATTATGGGACTCTATCCTGAGAGAGGTCAGAATTAGAGAGATGGGGTCAGGGTTCTAACTTGGTTATAAGTTCTTTGAGGGCAAAGATTGTGGCCGTGCCTTAAAGGAGGATCCTAAAACCCTAATCTCTTTGGTTCTGGCAGAACATGCTCCTCCTGTCTCCTGTGACCCCCCTCATCTCTTCTATACAGATGCTGACGTAAAGAATGACCGAAGCTCGCTGCACCGGAAGCTTGACAGGAACCTTATTCTGTTGGTCAAAGAGAAGCTTGGAGACCAGGACGTTTGGATGCTGCCCCAGGCCGAGTGGCAACCTGGGGAGACCCTCCGCCGAACAGCTGAACGAACCCTGGCCACACTCTCAGGTGAGCTCGCTGCCTCATTGCTAAATCCCGCAAGACACACTCCAGACTTAGCCTCAGGATTTGCAGGCTGACTGTGGGCCTGGCTTTTAATAGTAGGTTAATGGAAACTTGGGCTTCCCAGGTGGCTTTGCGATAAAGAATCTGCTTGCAATTCAGGAGACCTGGGGTTCAATTGCTGGGTTGGGAAGATCCCCTGGAGAAGTGAATGGCAACCCACTCCAGTATTCTTGCCTGAAGAATCCCATGGACAGAGGAACCTACCTGAAGGATGGAGAGTTTCAGCCTCTGCTCACTAAAGCTTGTCTTCCCAACAAAGTGCAAAACATTCACTGCTCAGTTTCCAGCTTTGCATTCTCTAAAATTTTTCAATCTATAAAAATAGGTGATTCTAGTACTTTTTCTGGCTTAAGTGGCCCAGATCTTCTTTGGGGCACAGTATCAAAATATTCTGTCATCATAGCTATGAGAGGTCCTGTTGCCTTAATAGGTTCTACTCGCCTTCCCTTCAGTGGCATTTCTGTCTCTCCACTCAGAGCACCAGTGAAGCTATTGTTCCAGAGGGATCTGGTAATCAACACTTACAGTAAAATGTGCTTCAGTTTTTATGGCACTCAGTTTCATTTCTCATGGTTCGTGGTTTCCTGTCACAAAAGTGATCAGGATTAGTTACATGGTTTTCTCCTTTCCTACATTTTTAATTCTTAAAATTTATGGATTCTTGAGGAAGTGGATTTTTTGTGTGTGCCTCTACATAGTATGAATCTTTTCCTGATCTGTTTTCCATAGTCACTCCCCCCCCCACCCTTTAAGGCAGCATTTTTGTGCTAAGAATTTAGAGGACGTGGAATTTCTTTAATTCTGTCACATGTAGAGTATGGTCTGCCATACTCAGTTCTCTCCTCGTCTCATAGTTCAGATCCTGAAGAAGTGTTGCAGAACCTGATTTTAGGTGACCCACTGCCTTCTAAAATGGACTTGGAATTTGGGGTGTCTCACTGAAAATGAGATTTTTCATTCCTTGGCCATCTGGTATCATTTTGAGGAAGATACCTTGGTTGGTAATTATCTTTTGCTCCATATTGCTTGGCATTTGACAATATGTGTTGTCCCTAACAGACCTGTGGTTTAGATTCCGTCCCAGGGCCCAGCACAGAGACAGCCAACCAAGAAACACCCAGACTTTCTCTGAAAGAGGCTCATTTGCTTAACATAAAGCATCAGCGTGGGGGGCAGTTCACGCATCTAGGAGCCTGCAGAAACACCCTTCGGGGACAGAGGTTGAAGCTATCCCTGTGCTGTTCCTTGCCCCTGTGGAGGTTTTAAAATTTGTTCATTCAGAATTGATGCTCCTGCCTGTCTCAGCCTGCTTCTCTTTTTGTCCTTGCAGCCTTGCTTGTTGGCAGCACCACTTAATATATTCACCCAACCAGACACCTCAGGGTTATCTGTGACCTCATCCTAGCATCCCCTAGGTTCCTGAATCCTACTTGGTCTGTTCTAAAGAGTCCCGTCTTTGCGCCTGCAGCTCTTCAGGGAGTCTTCACTTCCCACTAGATCATAGTTTCTGAGCCTTGCCTTGGCACTCTGGAAATTTGGGGCAGGATCATTCTTCGTGGGGGCTTATGTGGTTCTGTCTAGGTTATTTACTGCAACATCTCTGGCCTCTATCTGCTTGATTGTAGTAGCACTACTTTGGTTGTCCCTAGTGTAACAACCAAAGATGACTCTCAATACTGCCGGAAATTACCTGGTTTGTGGAATCTCTGTGGTTGAGAACCGCCACCCTGGAGTATTGAGGTAGACACCACACAAGCCCCCTTCTTGCTTTTGTGTTGTCATTTTCAGTGCTGCCAGAATAAGCCTTCTAAAACACAAATCCCTTGTCACTTCTCTGCTCGAAGTCTTAAAGGGTTTCCTGTAACACAGACTTTTGAGCGTGGCCTGTGCATCCTTTTTGCTCTGGTCCCAAGCTCATCAGTCTTCATCTTGCTGTTC